TGGGCCAGAAATGTGGAATTTGGGTATGTGTGTCAGGCATGAGTTGAGGAGATCATGATCCTAAGCCTGTTTGTTCCCTTGTCACCCCCTCAAAAAAAACGCAGGCTCAGGTCACCTCCAGACAATTTAGACAGAGGGATTCAATCACCTACCTGAAATGTCAGTTTGCACTAGCAGGACTTTTTTCCAGCTGGAACTCGCCAGAACTCAGTTCTGGCACCTCTTAGGTGGGTGCCATTGCCATTATAAGAGAACAAGAGAGGCATTCATAATGAGTTGTACCACCTCTTTTTCTAGAAAAATAGCACTGCGCAGAAATATATAAAAATCTCTGTTACCTTATTGAGGCCATTTCAGTAATCTGAATAACAGTAAAATATTCCCCTTATTTCAATATGCTGAAAAGGCATAAATTATTCGGATTGGCTACATCTTGTGTCAGAGAACTGGGGTAGCATGAATGAAATGTTATGAGGCCTAATGTTTGTGCCCCTCCACATTAAAGGAGTATTATTAGCAAGTTCTGTGTGTCTTAAGCATCCCAGGATAAACAGTAGCAAATTACAGTGGTGCCTCGCAAGACGAAATTAATCCGTTCCGCGAGTCTCTTCATCTAGCGGTTTTTTCGTCTTGCGAAGCAACCCTATTAGCGGCTTAGCGGATTAGCGCTATTAGCGGTTTAGCGGTTTAGCGGCTATTAAAGGCTTAGCGGCTTAGCGGCTAAAAGGCTATTAGCGGCTTAGCGGCTTAGAAAGGGGGGGGGAGTGAAAATAATTGCAAGACTCGCAAGACTTTTTCGTTTTGCGAAGCAAGCCCATAGGGAAATTCGTCTTGCGAAGTGCATTGAAAAACGGAAAACCCTTTCGTCTAGCGGGTTTTTCGTCTTGCGAGGCATTCGTCTTGCGGGGCACCACTGTACTTCTTGATATTCCAACCATAATACAAATCCACACTATTTTATGTTGGTCAACTGCTAATCTTACGTCAAGGGTTCACACTGAGGCACTTACAGCAAATATTCCAAAGGCCAATGAGTGCCTACTCCAACAACACTGACCCCAACAATAGCAACAACCCTTGCATATAAGTTTGCCTAAACTTCATAAAGTAGAGACTATGCTTTCATTTCCTGTTGAAGTAACAGTAGACTTCAGCACTCAAGATGGAACATATCTTGCCATATGTGATTGATGTAGGTAGAGTGTAATCACCAAACATGAATACTGCTTTCTTATAACGTAAGGAGTTGTGGCTCTAAAGAGTGCTTATATGAACTGAGATCAGTCTGTAAATCAAGGGGAAAATATGAAGAAAATTGTTATTTTGACACATTTTTGAGTAAGTAATAAAACAACCCCAGATGTTTTATTGTTTCTTTGCCTTATATGAAGTCAGAGTCAGAGGTGACATGCAATAAACCCGTTTCCAGAATCCTGTTTACTGAGCATTCCCTGTGCATTGGAGATGAAGTGACAATGATAAAAGACCAACGCCTGTTGATTACATTAGACAAGACAGGACAAAATAGCTCAAGATGTATTAAAGTTGAAGTGAATTTTTAAATCTGGCTCTAAATGAATGCAGGCAGCATGATTATAATGGAGAAGGGCTGAAGAAGAGCTGGGATTCCTGTAAAAGGTACCAGCAGCTGAGGGGCATCTGCTCATGCTATATAATACATAGGCCAAGGCTATGCAACCTGACCAAAACCCACAGTGTGCAGGTTGTTTTCCAGTAGGAAATCTGATGGAGTTTCAGTGGGACTAGAAACAGGGAACCACTTACACAGAAATAACATTTAATGACAATTAATTGCTGCCTGCCAGAACCCCTGGGGCTCTTTCTACATAGAGGAATATAGGAAGCTGCCTTGTACTTTGTAGAAAGGGTCGCATATCTGGTGATGGGGCTGACACTGAACTGCCACTGCCAGTGAATGTCTCAAGGGGCCTTGAATAGTTGATCTTGAATTGGGGGGTACCAAATAGAATAATAAGCATTGTTAATGGATGCTTTGTCTGGATTGGCATCCTGGTCAAAGATCCAATTTCTGGGGTCGCACACACTAAGTGATAAATATTTCTTCATTTGGAGAGTGTAAGCCCTTAGCTTATCTTGACACCGCCAGTGACAGTAGACCAGTGGTTCTTCAGTGGGCCTTTTGAAAGCAACAACATCAGGGCCATAAACGCCTTGCATGCTGAGTTAAGGACGACAGGAGGCAAAGAAGTTTTATTCTGGAGGGGTGGCGAAGAAGAAGGGAAAGGAGCCAGGGGAACTATTGGAGGATATTTAAAATAAAATAAAAAGGCAAGTATTTTATATGTATCATCATCATAACCATTACTATTTTTCTAGAAAAGAGGTGTTGGAACTCACCACGAACATCTCTCTTGTTCTCTTATAATGGCAGTGGTGCACACCTGGGAGGTGCCAGAGTTCTGGTGAGTTCTGGCTGAAAAAAGCCCAGATTATTATCAATCCATAAACTGGGAATACAAAGGAAGGGGATAAGAGAGGAAAGCTGTTATAAGAGGAAGAGGTGAATGTATAAGGAGCTGGGAAGAAAGATGACATGAAGCGTCTGGGTTTTTTCAGGGGGAGGGGGCTGCACCACCATTTTGTGACTGGCGGGCCTATGTAGTTTTCAGCCAGTGTGTCACCAGAGTAGAAAGTGTGAGAACCCCAGAAGTAGGCAATATTGTCCAGGTGGACAAATGATCTGAGCTAGCATAAGGTTGCACCCTGTGCTCCTATGCTGCCTTAGTAACATTTCAAGCCTGTAATCACTGCCTTAAGAGCCACCTTAACAAGCAGAAGTGTCAAATTGTGGAGGAGGAAAGAAAAGCTACACAACACTTTTCAGAGCAAATAATTCCCATCAGAATTATGTATTTTAAAAAGTTTGTAGGCGGCATAAAGCAATGTGCTTATTAAAGCATTTTACTATCAGGAGAAATGACGGAGAAAGTCACAGCACACCTGCACCAACTTGAGGCAGGTGTGATATTTATCTCTCCCACTCCACTTTGCTGATGTGCCCGGAACAGTGCCATGGTTGCATAAAGTTCAAAAGCAAACATGATTAAAAACTTTTTTGTTGAACAATCGGAAACGTTCATGATTGACTCAGGGATAGAATGGGTGATAAAACTCATCCTGAAATGAAGCAGAACTTTTTGAAGAACCAAGGATATCACACCATCCATTGAAACACTAAAATATTCAATTGTCATTTTTTAGTGTCTTCATAAGATTAAATCAGGAGACCCCAAAATTATTGACAAGGACTGTAATGTTGTTTAAATGTCACATATGCACATCACATCACAATAGTTACAACACAATTGTATTGAAATAATGTATAGCCTGAAGCTATGCATGTTTCTTCAGGAGAAAGCAAAGGACTGCAGACATAGGCCAAGTTCCAGAGACCTACTTTGGATATGCCCAAAGTTTTACACGTAGGCAGTGTCATTTTGGCAACAGGCTTCCATGCCATATCACACACTGCTTATGTGGGGCTGCCTCTCTTTAGCATATGGAGATTGTTGCGCAGTTGATTGGATTGAAGCCATAGAAAACTAAGACTTATTAATACTGGGTCCTATTACGGACTCATTCTGACTAATATATAGTTTCTCATGAGCCCCAAAGTACATCATTTAGTGAAGTATTGCTTACACATCAGATGGTTTTATCATAAATCTGTGTTGGATGATATTTGACACTCTGTACTTTTTAGAATCTATTGTGTGATGATGCTTTTGCGCCAGATACTTTCTTCCTCTATGCCTTGTAATGTAAATTTAAGAAACTTTCAGTCTTTCTCATAGGTATCAGAAAAATGTGACGTTTTTTAATGTTTCAAGTAAGGGAGACACAAGGAAAAAGAATCTGCCTTGTATTATCTTGAAGATGTTGATAAGGTACAGGAAAATGTGTGGCCATACTCTAAGCTATGATCTCTTACAAAATACTCATATTGGGAAAATAATCAAATCATATTCCTCTCCCACCACTATTTTAATGTATCAATGAGTATAGCAGAAGTGGTCCACGGATACTCCCTATGCAAAACAGTTGTCAAAATGCCTCTCCCCGAAAAAAACTATCTTCTAAACTTTTCATCAAAATCTATATGGCATTTCTACACATATTCAACCCCTGCTGTTCTTTGGTATATATTACTGTGGATTCTGGAAATGTCAACCCACGAACACAGCTGAATGGATTCTATTGCTTGCAGTGGCTGGAAAATGCAGTTCTTTGATATTTGCTCCCTCATTCTACTCCTCAAACCTTTTTCTCCTGCAATATGTGAGATATGACTTGCACATTTGAGTTACAGTAGCCCTTTCAGATGAAGTGTTAGCATGTTCAGTGAGTGTGTGAGATGGAGCAGGGTGTCCTGGTCTATGGGGATTACTATCACCACAGATAGGTGGTGGCTCAAGCATGGGGGAGGTGCCAAGGTTCAAGGCAGACAGGAAGGTTAGACAAGTAAGGCAGGATCAGCTCAGTGTTCTTTTCAGCACTCTGTCTCCAAGGATTCCTGGCTTGGGGTCATGACATAAGGATGTGCTAACACGGACACACCCTTCTGGCTATTCCCCCAATGTCTGTGTGTCCAGAACATATTCCATGTGGTCAAATGGAAGTACCTATGCCTATACTGTGGTGTGCATGTGGGGCCTTACATGTGATCAGGAAACCTGTTTGGCTGGACTTCCTAATCACATGCTTGTACGTTCACAGATATATGCATGCGGAGCTTTTCATGCATTCAGCTGAATGTATGGCTGCTGAGGCATGGCCAGACATGCATGGTGATATTGGGATTGTACACCACCAATATGGCATCAAACTACTATGTATCAGAAAACAATACATAGGACAGAAGTAATGATGATCCCAATGAACTGCATGTTATGCTATGCCTTTGTGTTGTGAGCAGATCATCAACTTAGCTGCAAACTAAGTTGTGTTTGAGAATCTTTTACCCAATGGGGGGCTCGAACCCACAACCCTGAGATTAAACATCTTATGCTCTGCTGACTGAGCCATCCCAGGCTGAGCTCCTAAACTTAATATTTACTATCACATCACTTTGGGGATAATAGGGATTGAACCAGGGATCAGTTTCATTCAAACCGTGTGCTCTGTTACTGATCTTTGCTCTTTCCCTAGTCAGTTAATTAAATGCCAACCAGTTGCATTTATTTCTTGTACTTAGAATTAAAAATTGTTTCTGTTTTTCACTTTCTCCCACTTTTAATAATACTTTTAAAATACCAGGATGAATGATAGGGGAGAAAGTGTGCCGGGAATGATGAGGTGGTTTGGAATAAGGTCACAATCACTGCCTACTGATCTGTGTTAAATTTGATAGAAATTGCATCAGCTAACTTAGAGGAGTTGCAAGAGCCTAGCCACGAGCTGAATGCAGATAAGCATAGACTGAGGTGGCGTCTCCTTCCCCAGTAAGCGACAAGATATAGCAAACAAATCTCTCCTATATTAAAGACCGCTTCTTATGTGAGTTTCCTCACTAATAGTTTGGAAGTGCGTTTAGAAAAGCAAGCAGAAAATGTTTGCATGTTAGCTGTAATCCACAAGTCTGAAACATACCGTACATCATAGTGCAAAGCGTGAAGGAAATTTGCTTCCATTCACATATCTTAAATGCTCATACAACCATCCCTACAAGTGATTACTCGCTAGAAATTTTTGCTCAAATCTATTTTCAATGTCAGAGGTGGAAATGAGAAGCAAAATCAAAGGAGCAAGTAGCTTTCCACATATGCAAAATGTGCTTCCACTGTCACAGAGTGGTCCAAAGAAGGGACTCAGGCAGAATCCAGTTTAAATGGTTCTATGCACAGAATTTGATGTTTCCAGCCCATTCTAGCTTTGCCTGCATTAGACCATGACTTGCATCAAACACCCACTTATATCCTGGGCAGATTGATATTCTCAAGGTTTTTTACACACACACACACCCCCTCTCACTCCATATGAACTAACCTAGATCCCACAATCATCCTCTGAAGCCCTTCTTCATGTACTTTCCCTGTGAGAGGTCCAGAGGACAGCACACACATAAATAGATCTTTTTGGTGGTGGCTCCTTGCTTGTGGAAATTATTAATGATCATAGTTAACCATATGAGCCAGGTCTTCCAGAACAACTGCATATTTGGCTCAACAAAGAACAAAAAAGAGTACAAAACGAGATTATGTAATGCCAAGAAATGGTTAGGTAAATTAATGACATAGCTGGAAACTATGGCTGCAGTTCTTTTGACACTGGCATAACTAAAAGAGGCAAGGTGGTGGAAGGGAAGAGTACAACATATTTTTCATGCAAATGGTTCCATGTTCCATCCACAGCATCTCCAGGTATGGTGTAAAGAACACTGAGATAGATGGACAAATGGTCTGACGTGCTCCTTAGTCCTGAATCCATCCCTAGAATTCTTGATGGGCTGACTGGCAACTATTACACTGACTCTCAATCTTGATGAGACAGAGATGCTGCTGGTGGAGGGTTCATCTGCTTTGGGAAATGGCGTTCAGGCGCTTCTAAATGAAAATGCAGCCCCTCTAAATATTGCACCTTTTTGTTGACTTCACAGTGTTATGCCATGTCATTGGTGCATACAATGGCTGATTAGCTGCTGCAATGCATACTGTAGTGACAACTATAGTAGCAGGTTGTGCAGGGAAGGGTATATCCTGATGAGCACTCATAGGCACTTACTTGGTGGTTGAAGAATCACTGTTCCGATTTTCCTTTCATTGCTGCATGGTGCAAGGGGATATGAGGAAGAAGCTTCCCTGGGGCTCTGGAGTCTTTAGCCCAGCAAATGCTTCCCAGTGAGAGTGAGGTGAAGCAGAGCCCCCGCCGCCGCCGCCACTGTCTTCACTGTAAGGAGAGCTGACTATGAAACTCATGGATCAGCAAACTGCTATATCCAGCATGTTGTGCATGAATGGTGTCACTGGAATTAATATGTGGGCTCTTCCGGCTGTCTCCTCCAGTTATTGGAAGCCTGCATGGGAGTTAAAAGGGATAGGATTTCATGCAAATCCTTGTTAGTAATAACATTAGTTTAGAGTATAGCTGTGAGGCTACTAACTGTGACCCTTACACACAATGCCTATTCCATGCCTTTGGGGTTGGAGAGGATTAAAATTGCTGAAGACAGGAATTCTAAAATCAAAGAGCATAGCTGACTATTACTCTGTAGATATGAAAATAGCAACCCACGAGAACCCCTAGTGAATAAATGAAATAATCAAACTTTTGCCTGACTAGAGTTCTGTATAATTGCACATAAATGACTTTCATATAATAATTGCACTATAAAAAACACACCATGAAGAGAAAGGAAACTAGAAAAATTAAGATAATAACCTGTTATTGTGCATGATTTCTCTTGGGCGACAAATATTCATTTAGGTTAGTATTTCACTAGGCATGATCGATAACATACATTAACACTTTCTGATTACTATTCCAACAGGATAGTAAGTTCAAAGCACATCTGCACTGGACTTCCACCTAAAATGTACAGCTTCACATTGTATTGCAAGGGAAGAAATTAGGGTTGTAATGTTAAATTTTGCAAGGAAGTACGACAGAGGGATTTGAAGCAGAAGGCAAGTCTAGCTCATTCTCCCTAGGTCTCACGTGCGTAAATGTTTTTCATGTCTATCTGTGAGCTTTTGCCAGCTGGTGAGTACTTTGCTCCTACAGAGCAAAGGGACAGGAAATCATCTTACACCAGCGCTAACTGCTAACAACTATCAACATAACTATCATTGTAATCTTTTAAAAAACATGACACTTACGTGACAAAAATGGCATTTTAAACAATGGTTAAGAGTATTATCTGTATTAAACATTCTAGATAGTTATCCTCCACTAACTTCTAATCAGTGGCAACATCCATTTTCATTAGTGAGGTATGAAAAGATTTTCACACGGAGTGATTCCCCATTCTATAAATGTTCATATTATCCCTTCCACCCACACAGTGGAGTTGTGCTCTAGATCTGTAAATTGAAGCCATGACTCTGTTCTATAGGTTTCTGCAGTGTAGAAAATAGTATGACAAAAACCTACTCAGGGCACTCCTAGAAATTCCTCCTGTAACAGAAAGATTGTATATCACTATTGTGTGTGGTACTGGATGTTGTGGCGGCAGCTGAGCTCCAATACTTGTTTTCTTTGCCCTTCTTTACACAGAAATGGACTGATGCAGCAATCAGGTCAATAAATATCTATTTCCTCTGTAGAATTAATAAATCATTATGGTAAAGGATTCCAGTTTTTTGGGTGGGTGGGTGGGTGGGATGTTGTAAACTCTGATCTGGTGATATGGCTTCTCTGTTTTGAGGGGGGGGGAATTAATTTTCATAGACCAGAATCCAAAGCACAGCATAAAGTGTTTCATCATACATTGAAACTATGACTACCCATTCCTATTGGGAAAGCTTTTCCTGCAAGTAATATATTTCAGCTATTAGTTGCTAAAAATCAGGGCGGGATGACATTTCTCTGCTGTCTTCCCATAAAAAGTACCACAAATGTTTCCATGGCACACTTGGGATTTGGGCCATTATTTCTCCAAAAACGTTTCTTTTAAAAAAAATAAAAATAAAAATTTGATACCATTAGGTATGTATAAGGAGTTTGATTTCTGTGAATGCCCAATGTGAACTTGACCTAATCTATATCCCCCAGATGAAGGTGTACATAGCTTGCAACATCCTTCTGATGTTTGCTATGCAATGCTCAATGCTATGCAATGCTCAACTTCATACTCTATACTCCATACTCACATACCAGTATGTTAAAAATGTGTATTTCATATGCAGTATATATCAATCACAAATTAACACAGATTGGGGCAGAATGAACACATGTGGAATTGAGGTAAAATGGAAATAGATTGATCTTTACAGTTGTAGCTGTCTGACAGAGTTGCAATAAGAGTGAGAGTGCTATGACTTTTTGTTCATTTTAATTTTTATTTATGGGATCACTGTGAGGGTGTATGGGCACTCCTTGGTGAGGGAATATAGGACCATAGGGTCAAAAACATATGAAGTCAAAAGCATATGAAGACCATTTAGTTGGGGAAGACTGTTCTGAAAAATTCCTAGGACATCAGTTGGTTTCAGGGAAAGTGGTTTGGCCTTTTATACCCATTAATTAAGTTACATTGCCCTAACAACTTGTACTGCTACACATCCATTTGTTTTTGTTTGTTTGTTTGAGCATCATCATGTGTTAGTGTACAGATTCATATTATTTTTAATAATCCCGTATATTGCCACGCTACTGAAGGGATAGAAGGAATTGCACGAATATTGTTAGGGAGACAGCAGAGAGTGTCAAATGCAGGCTGTCCATGGGGAAAAGGCAGGGAAAAGGTGGCTCTCAACGACCTCTCCACATGGTGTTATATAAGAAAAAGCTGCTCATGTTTTTGAATAGAAGGTTACCCATTCTACTGTTTTCTTAATCCTTTCACGTTTTAACATTCTGAAGAGAACCTGCATGCCTTCAAGTGTTATCATGTATCAGACACTGTAGTTTGTCCTAATCAATTCAGCTGATGGTGAAGGGGAAGTCATAATGATGTGAGCCAAAGGTCTCCTCCACATGCTGCGGTGCTAGGCAAAGGTACACAAGGTTTTCCATCAGCACTGCAAATATTTTCATATATATATATAACTTAATTAGAATGTCCTAATGTACTCTGATCTGTCTCTCCGATTTACTCAGTTGGACTTGTTTGAACCTTATTTCTCAATTATCTCTTTCGCCACCTGCTCCTGCATAGCTTGGGTTCCTTTAATGTTCCTTTCCATGATCCCTTTCTTTATTTAATAGTGTGTGCCAACATACCATGTTATTACCCTAGCGGATATTGTTTAAATTAATTCCATCTCACCATCACTCCTGCTTCCCCAATTATTTTTATGTCTAGGAAAGAAGATTTGTATATTTAAAATGTGTCTAAATATAACATGCATCTTTGAACGCCATGAGTGCACCCCA